TTGAGACTAGCAGTAAAGGGAAAGAGGCCGAGTGGCGTGTTTTTACTGGGGGGAAGGAGTAAAATGCATTATTGACAAGCAAAGATTAATCAAGTGGAGAACTTACCAGTTGGCTGCATTAGCAATTACATTGCACTGAAGACCTCTCTGAGATCGGAGCCGAGTTATATCTCCAACAAACGTGAAAAACTTGTTGGGATCAATATTCTTCTGTGCAGCTTTACTCTTAACTAGCGACAGTATTTTGGATCCGTGAGACAAATCTACCAACACAAGCCTGGCATTCCCAATCCTCCCTACAAATTCCTCAACTTTTTCCACAATAATATCAGAAGCTTTCTCGAGACTGAACTGAAAGTCTGCAGTAGAAATAGAAGGAAAAGCCAATGTAGGGACACTGCCGGGCCCAACTGCACCTGAATTAGACGTCAAGTCCAATTCATCACCTTTTTCTAGTTTCTCACGAGTATCACAATCCATTTTCGTTTGGAGCCCACTTTCCTTTTCCACTGATGGTTCGATTTTCTTTAGAAACTTCATTATCCCTTGCTGAATCTTGGATTCGGGTTTCTTCTGTCCAAAACAACCAGAAGGGAGAGAATCAGATGGGCCAAACGAGCCGTACACATTGATAGCTTCTTTCACTTCTTTATCATCCTGACAAAATGTGATTCGACTAAACCCTTCATTCAGTTTCGGAAGTTCCTTTCTCTGCCCCATCTGATTCACAACTGCAGCTGCTTTCGCGCCTTGCAAGTTACCTTCGTGTCCAGTACGCTTCACAGAACGCGAAGTACAGAGCTTGGCTGGAAGATCAAGGACCACTGCATGTTTAACCGTTTGTGGGCCCCCCAGCTTTAAAAACTCGGTTCGCTGCTCTCTGTCGATATTGCATCTGTCTATAAATACACTCTTGCCATCTTTCAGGGCAGTGGATGCGGCCGATAGGCACTGGAGTTTTGTCCCGGGTTTACCATTGTTAATGTTGTCCTAAACTTGCATGAACCAGGAAAAAGAAAAACGGTTTTACAGAAAAAAACTAATCAACTGCAAGTCTGCGATGACAAGTATAATTGAAGGAAAAATGGCTGTCTCGTGGCATGACAAAAACAGCACCTAATGCTAATTTCACCAGAAAAAAAACACAGAACGGTACAAAAGCAAATGAAAGCTGGCTATTCCAATTACGACGAAACATCGGTAAAACGGCATTCAAGAATATTCAAATCCCATTGAGGCATTTCTTCAAACACTTCATCTTCACGTAGAAAAATTTCCAATCTCCCTCTACAAGCTACCTACAAGAATGTATATAAATAAACCTGGCAAACGCGAGCCCATGGGCGTGGAGAAATTTTCATGACTTCGTCACAGAAAGAAGATTTTCCACTTCCAGGCAAGCCCACCATTAACATTACAATTGGCTGCCCTTCTTTATTCTCTTCTCCTTCAGAAGCCAAAAACAGGAAAACAGGACATGCTTCAAAACAGATTATTATGGACAAAATGAGCGAAGAATAAGCAAAGTTCATGGGTGTTTTGCATTGCACCTTTTGCTTTATCAATTTCCATTGATTGCTTCGTGCTTTCGGCCAATAGACACAGATTGAAATTACGAGTGGAATTTGAACAGTTGAAGAATATAAAAGTTAGCTTAAGAAAAATCACAAGATTACACTGTTAATCGTATAATCTAACATTTGTATGCCAATCATGGAACTCTAGAATACACTCCAATTTGCTTCATTCAACTGTATTTGGCCCAAAAACTTATTTGATAGTTGATAACTCAGTTTATAATTTACCGGAGATAGAACTATTCTGTCAGCGTTTGTAACCGTTACAACAACTTCCCATTACAGTTACATGATGATCTAACAATTATAAATCCTGATAGAATGGTTCCGTAACGGGACGGTACATTTCCTTTAATTTACAAGTCCAAATTATAGTTTATAGCTGGAAAAAAGGGAAAATTTTAGTTTTGGTACCCGAAAAGTACATACTTTTCACTTTTGATACCCGTGTTTTCGACTTAATCAATATTAGTACGTAAGTATGAAAAATCAATCAATTTTGGTCACGAACGTCAGTTGACTGTAAGTCAACTAATGGAAACTGGCTATAGCCGGTTACCATGTTCGAAAAAACCTATTGAGCCTATTCCATCCAATTTGATCGTGCATTCAGTCCGAATTCTCAAATCAGTAAAGAAAAAAGCCCTAATTGCGATTTTCTTCTTCAAATTTGTTGAGGTGACAATCATCAGTTGAGACGACAATCTTCACCATATTTTCAATCAATTGGTGTGGTGTCTCAGAAAGAATCGCGACGGGCATATTGACGTTGCATCTGCAGAAAAATCCGACGAGCCATCTGAATCTATGGCGAGAAGGATTATATGTGGACTGCCACCTGAATACGGTAAGTAAATCTCGTCTTCCTTATCGAATGCAATGTTGGTATCATTCATCTTGCTCATTGTCTCCAATAACTGAGCTTCCATTTGAGCAATCTTCATCTTGTATTGCTCAATTTGATCTTCATATTTATTTAATTTTTCCAGCAAACCGGGTATAATATTCTTTGCTCTTTCACAAATTTCTGGATCCAACCATACAAAAAATCCACAATAACCAGATTTCTGCACAATTTGTACAAATACTTTTTACATTAACCAAATTAAAACAAAAAGTAAATGAGTAATTAAATACTTACACCATATTTAGGGCATGCCCAATATCTTCTTCCCGGATTTTTTCGACTCCAAGAGGTCTTCAAGTAGACTCTTATTCGACAGTTGCAAGTCATCTCTATTGGCTGGCCATTATTTTCGGAATTCCAGCTTCCCCTTCAAGTGCTCATGGTCGGATTTTCTTTTTTGCGCCGGAAAATGATGACTTGGCCGGAAATCTCCCCAAAAGAGGAGATTTTTTTTTTCGCCCAAAAAATGAACCAGCAGGTTTATCTCCATTTTTGCTCGTTGGAGAAGAAGAAGGAACTTGTTCAACCAGTTTCCGTTAGTTGACTTACGGTCAACTGACGTTCGGGACCAAAATTGATTGATTTTTCATACTTATGCACTAATATTGATTAAGTCGAAAAGACGGTATCAAAAGCGAAAAGTAGGTACTTTTGGGGTATCAAAAGTGAAATTTTCCCCTGGAAAAAAACTATATGATATAGTACAATTTTTAGTAAAATTAGCTAAAAAAAAATAAAATGATGAGTTAGAAGCTGGTAAATAAGCTCTAATTGGGCCCATACGTGAGAGGCCCATTTATATTTAGTTGAGCCTGATAGTGGACTAGAATTTGATGGATCCGAAACACAAAGGCCCATTCACAAGCTAAAAAATGTGCTATATAAATTGCCTCAGCTCACGCTAGGGTTTTTATCCACACTCATTTCTCTTGGTAGGGTTCTCTACA